CATAGTGTAATTATTAACAAAAAAGGATTACACAGAAGTGTACATTCTTGGATCAGAAAGGACGGTCGTCCACTTGGGATCCAATTTTTAGCTGCACGCACGAAAAATATGAATCTGCACAATCTAATAGGCGCGAAGGCTGAAATATTAAATGAAAATGATAAAAACCAATCCAACGATCTATGAGTGCGAATTTCGAGATTTCGAGTTGCGAGTTTGTTTTTTCTCTTGGATTACAATTTTAGCTTCAAGAGATGGCGTTTTGCGAGGCTAGCTGACCTTATTCCGTTCAACGGAAAACAGTCACTGTTCCAGAGATTTCGGAGATTTCGAGTTTGCGTACGAGTTTATTTTTCCTCCTGGATTACGAATTTATTTCCAAGCGATGTCGTTTTTAAAGGCTATCTGCCTTTATCGTGCCCAACGTAAAACATTCCCTGCACTCGGAGATTTCAATTCCCGGCATTGAAAACGGTGCCTAAGGAACGTCATGGGACATTCGAAAAAAGAGCACGAAACATTCGCGTAACAACGTTTTTTTCTTCTTCTTTTTTTTTTTTGTGATTCGCCAACAGCATGCGTCATAAAGAAAATGTACTTTTCTTGACGAGGCTCGTGACGCAATGCTGCCGGCGAGGCCACGAAATTCCCGGTTTATTGTTTCTGCCGGGCAAAAAAGAGCCCCGGCCATATCCACGCCGATCTTATGGGATAGGTCATGGCGGTCGTTTATTTGGAAAGACCTCGAAATTTCTTAAACACCTCGCGAGAGGTGCTTGTCGACCAGTCAACGCGAAAAGGAGCATGGAAATTATTGTCTTTTTTTATCGTTCATCGCAGCTTCGAGCCGCCTTTTTGCCGATTACGCTTGACAATACGAATCAGATCCACTGAAATTAAAACTTCACCGTGGTCTACTTGACAATTTTTTCTATGCACCTTGTTTAGATTCGATGGTTCTCTTCAAGAAATATCGACCTTTTTATTACTTATATCGTAGCTTGTTGTGTAATTTTCATACGTGTAACTCTTGCGCATAGCAATCAATTATTCTTATGCTACACAAATTCAAAAGGATTTATTATAACGATGCGTGTTTGGAAAAGTTAATTGTTTGGGAATAATTTGAGTTAAAATGTAAAGTGACAGCTTACGACGCTGTAACACGCGTAGCATCTCTCGGTCTCTTCATTTTTCTAACTGCACAGTCTTATCAAATGGATTAGCCGTTGGAGGAGCTACAGCCGTGGCGAGCGACGAATCTAGATAGAACGCGAGCAAAAGACAATTAAACTTTGGCCGAAAGTTGGAAAGCGTTGCCTGTGTGGGTAGCCTTAGGGACTGTAGGAGGGAAGGGGTCGAAAGGGACCCGAATCGAAACACCTACAATGAACGTTGTCTCATTTAAATGAAAATTAAACGTCGCAGGTTGTGTCATCGATTTTTCCCGTTTCGGACTGAACTCACGCTTATATGCGCGGAAAATGAAAGAGATCAGAGATAAAGACAATAGAGTCAGCTTGAGATAAATTCTCCATAGGTTTAACGAATTGGGAGAAAATAAAATAGGATCGTGTAATACCTGATACGTTCCTAAGAAATGATTATAATACGTTCTAAGAGATAATTATTCAATTTTGTCAACGAGACTGGGACGATAGTCGGTCAAAGAACGCCATCTAATCAGGCGATTATAGTATTTCGAACTAGTCGTAGTCAGTCGTAAAGAGTCCGCGGAATGCAGAACACGTGAAACCATAAGTGCGAACATGTGAACTTATTGAAAGTTGTCCTAGTCGTTATTCGAGCTGCTCTAACAAATTTGAAGAAGAACAGAGAAATTAACGTTTATCGGCATCTCTCTTCTTAAAGAGTTGGAATCGCGCAAATTTCGAATATCATTTTGGCGAAGGACAACGTATTTAAAATTAGTCACATTGTTGTCTCTTATCGCGACACACGTTCGTGTTCGTCATCCGCGAAATTACAGGAACCGACGTCAAACAATTTTTATCGGCAGTACGATGAATTATTGTATGAAATGTTTTCTTAAGATAACCTTCCTTCTCGTTTTCTCCAAGACTTCCGCAATTTGCAAACTTTGCAATTGTCTGCAGACGCGCCGAAGGTTCTCAAGATCATTTGTTTTTCGCGATTTGCAACGAAAGAGAAAAAACATTTTAAAACGCCCGTTTCGAACCACATTAAACATGGAATTGTAGTCAGACAGAAAACAAATGCGAAAATAAAAAATCTCTTTGAATGGCGAAATGTTTCACCTTGTTCCATGAAACCAGAAGAATATTAACACGCAAGTACGTTTATCGAAAACAAAAGTAAACGAGATTTGGTCAACAAAAGGTTCATTCAAATGAGATTTTTCAAACAGACAAAGATAATAATCTTTTTAAACATCAAATAAAAATCACATTTTCTTTGACGATAATAGCCATAGATACTTTGAATTCTGCGTTTCTGATCGATAGATTGAGATCTTCGAAATGGTTGCAAAACGTTCCCTAAACAATCTCTGCGGTTATTTTTAATTAGAATTATTCTTTAAAATAAATTATTTTCAAAGTGAAAAACTCCGGCGTGATTCGTCGCTTGTTATTCGATGTATCGATGGGTTTGAAGAATTGTCGCGGACGATGCACGTGATTTGTGGCACGCGGTTCGCGGAACTGGAAACGAAAAAGTGGAACATCGCGACGATCGAAGATATTTTGAGAACCTGGATAGAAGTTCGGGGGGAGGGATTCACGAGGAGCCCAGTGGAAACGCTAAGATGGAAGCCGAGGTGTCCTCTCGAGTGTTTTCGCAAGACTGGAGTCGAACCCTTGGAAAAACAGACGCCAAATTGAATCCCTCGTCTATAAGAACGTGATGTCTCTCCCTTATCTATATAACTCTACCACTCGAGAGCCTTTTCCCCGGGGGTTTCTAGAGTTTCTTCGTCCACGGATTACACACCTATCTGTATTTCTCGCGCAAGAACCGCGTCGTACTTCCATTCGTCGCGTCTTTCAAAACGAACGTCTATAAAATACAAGCAACTCTTATTTTCGACGGTACCACGAAGATAAAATCAATAGAATTACAATTATCAGTTCGAAGTTTCACGCAAAAGCACGTATTATCAATTATTTATAAATACCAGATAGAAATTTGATGAAAAAATATTGAATTTTTACAGTTGAATAAATAGTTATGTGAAAATTAATTGAAAAATATGGACATGTATTGTCATCGAATAGTTCGATTTGAAAGACAATTCACAATAATAATTACAGTGATAAATTAATATATTCGTTGCTGGTAATTTTACGAAGACCCTAAAACAGTAAACTGAAGATTTCTGCAGTTAAAGATGAGAATTTCAAAAGTTCTCTAATATCACACAAAATAATCCAATTCTCTTTCCTGTACATATAATCCTTGATAACTACCCTACCTCACTATACTTTAGTCAATTAAACAGTATCCGTTAATATACCTTAAACCACTACATATATATGTATATAGTTGCAAAACTCCGATTAGTTAAAAAATATGTCACTCAATCCCCCAGAAAATGAACACTGTTATAGGTAAAAGGAACGCGAATCGATCAGAACGAAATCACCACGTGGTCGTCACTTCTAAATTCTCCGCGATCCCGCGACCAAATCCGTCGTTATCTGTCGAACCAAACAACGTAATCAAAACTCTCAAAAACTCTCTGGACAAAGAAACTCAATAATCCAGCGCCCAGCCTTCGATCTTGTAAAATCCGTCGATTGATGGGTATACGGTGTAAAAGTATCCGACGGCCGCGTAGTCGCGCGCGGAAAAATTTCGCGTGTGCTCTCACACCACACGCAGGGCGATGCTCATTGTCTCGCTTTTGTTGCGTCGGCCCTGCGCGAGTCACGAGGGCGTGACTGAGTTAGGAGTGTGGCACGATCCTTGGCAACCTAACCGTAGAGGCGTCCACGAATTTCCCTTTAATACTAGCCCTCTGATTCGTCGACTCACGTAGGTGGAGTCACATGATTGGCGGCCGGCC